AAGTTAAAATGTATCTCTCTTTAGATATCTAAGGGTTGGCATCCACAGATAAAACAGTCAGGGATTCTATTAGATGGAATACATAATATTCATGATATTACCTTTTCAAGTGGTCTTTGGAAGAATCGTCTTGAATCTGTGAAGGGAACACTATAATTTGTCTTTATATTTAACTGGTATAACTCAGAGCTAAGCCTGCTTTTGAAAAAGTACTTTCTCTTTTTGATTTCATCCTATTAGTGATTATGTTGCTTTAGTATTATCTACATTTTAGTATTCAAAATAAATACATTAATAGTCTTTGAATTAGTATCATGAGACCTTGGGAATGTCCAAATGTCTATATGGTCTGTATGAACTAGTTATCAAGTGTAAACTCTCTAAGTTTTTATTCCACATCCCAGTAATAATGGCATTATCTCAGCCCTATTTCTGTGTGACTTCTGTTTTAAAGTCTGTGAATCTGTCAGTTTCACTGAATAAAGTTATGAAGCCATAGAAATGATCAACTATACTTTATTGTGGGTTACTTTATCATAACATAGTACCCTCCCTTTCAGTTTAGAGAAAAGATACTGTACACATCCAATGCATTTCCTCCACAATTTCCTCCAGCTTCACAGGCTCATGTTTGCACTTTCCTCTTGTTAAAATTGCAGACAAGAATAATTTTGATTTATTGGTGACATCTAATATAGCTGTGTTTATATTGTTGCCAATAAAATGACTTACACGATTGGTTTTTGTTTATACAATCTTTTCTGAGGAGTCAGTCACCTGTGTTAGGACAAGGTACATTCTGCTTATTAAAATGAACTCCTGGGATCTAAGAACATTCAGCTCTATCTGTCCTTGATTGAATTGCAAAATGTGCTTCACATGGCAGTCGTGCATGAGAATAACTTATATTATCTATCAATAGGCTTTTCATTTCTATATTCTTCTGGCTACGAAAATTGTTAACTAGGGAAGCCCACGGGAATAGCATGGTCCTACTAATGATCAAGGCAGTGATGTTGAAAGGGCAATGTTAATGAAATTATACAATCGTTAACCCAAAGGGAAAAAATAAAAAGAATCAATAAAAACTCCGCGTTAGATGACTTAGACATATATACATATAAGAAGCCAGCTCAGGAGCATTTTGTTTGCTGACCAGTATTTTGTGCCTCATTATCAGGTTTTCTATGCAGGGTAAGAAATGCTTGTGGCATAAGGAATGGAAAATGTAACAAAGGCTAAATGTAGCCTAAGGAAATGAAATGATGTATGAAAATTAATAATTAACTGGCTCATCAGATGAATTATGACTCTAGATGAGTTTATTAATGATATTTACTAAGAAAGGGCTTTTGGCTATAAATAGGCATTTTAGAGCTCGTGTTTTTGGAATTTTCTTGAATGGATGGGGTAACATTGCTTTTCCTTTGTTTCATCTTTTAATCCATGAGAAACAGTGCCAAGAACCTTGGTTAGACGAGAGTCATGACTTTTGGGTTTTGATTAAGTTACAGGTTTCCCAGAAAACTGGTGATATTATTAAATGGTTTTGTGCCTTAGTTTCCTTAGGAGTTAAGTAACTTTTTTCTCTGACTTAACTTACAGGAGTGTTTTTAAGAGTTTGAAAGTGATAGAAAGGAAAGATTTATTAATTCATTTTGACTCCTCTAGCAGAATGAGTATTTTTATTGTTTGAACAAATAGAGTATTAAAAAAATCTAAACATATCAATATTTCAGATCCTAAGTACCCAAAATTTGTTCTTCTGGATGTTCCTTGCTTTTTACTTTTTCTTCTTTTTCTGTTGATACCTTGGGGTAGAGGAGTTGGATGGAGGTCGGAGGAGAAAGTAGTGCTGGAGAACTTCATTAAATTTTTAAATAGAAAGATGCTCTTCCAATGAAATCTTCCTACCAGTCAGGCTTTGATACTGATTAGTTGTGATTTTACTTTTTGGCAAAGGTTAAGGAAATTTAATCTTAATTCCCATCTTTTTAAGGTTAAGTGTTGTCGTCCAGCATGTTGCTGGCATGAGAACCTTCTGTCACTTTGATGGAGTGGGTAGATACTAGTTTTTATTCCATTGCTACCCAGTTTCCTTGATTTAAGTTCTATAGGTATAAAATCTGTATCTTTATGCTTAATTAAAATAATTGGGTATTTTTGATAATCTTCTGTATCTTAATTATCTGGGAGAACAGAATTTCTAGAGACTGTAATGATTATCACAAACTTCCTCATTTTATGGATGAAAACCGTAAGTCCAGGGAAGCTATAAATGATTTGCCAGTACTAGAACTCAGGTATCCTGACTTCCAGGTGAGTGCTTGCTTCACTCTGACTCAATAATGACGTATGTTTCTTAGAAGTTAGCAGTTTATTCCTTTTCGTTCCCAAGTGAACTTAGAATTATACATTATATTATTATATGAATAGACAAAATTAATTTTTAAATTCTGGTATCTAATGCTTGAAAAATCTGTTGGCATGTTTAATGTGAAAACATTAGGCATATTTTGACATACAATTATATTTTGTCTTGAGTCTGCTGTTTTTTCAGCTCATATACTATCGACCTATTGTTTTTTCTTTATGATATTAATCACTTTACTTTCTGGCTGTTGCTTTTTTAGTAATAAAATTTAAGTACAGTTTTGTTGTTTTTACTTTCAACCTAAAGGTATTTAAAACAGGAGTACAATGTATAAAAAATAAAATAAATATCCAATCTGATAGGCAGGAATGAGTATCTGATAATTAAGTTCTCAGTGTTTTAATTATTTTTCCTTCTCACAAACTTAACCTTATTTATGATCTAGTCTAAGGCTAAGTACTTACCTCTGTGTTTTTAATCCAGATTTTTGATGATAATTCTTGCTAGTGTATGATCTTGCTGCCAAAAAATGACTCCCTTATTTTTAAAAACTTGGAAATGGGCATAGTCTGAAAATCTGCAGACATTTGTCACTGGACCATGGTCTTAGTGACTCATATTTCCAGTCATGTTGGATAATTCCTCATTTTTAACAAATTGCCAATACTACGTATTTATCTTGCCTTTTATTTATTTATTTTTTTGGTTGGTACTGAATAAGTGCTTTCTTCTGCAGGATTCAGAGTGTTCAGAAACACTACTTTATCAGTGAGTGGGGAATAGATGGCTAATATAATCTGGCAAAGAATAGAGACATTATATGATCCTTGTCCACAATTAACCAATAAATCAATAGACCAGTTGAATTCTTCTAAATGAACATGCAGAAAAGTCATTGGAATTTTTCCAATGTAAAAAAAAATCTTAAGACTGGTCTTATACCGGGGGTCATTTTTTATTCTGTAAACAAATTTAAATGATACAGGTTTGGATAAACCTGGATTTATTTGTCCATTCTCAGGAACTGTAGTGAAGGAAAGAGAAGATACAAGACCTAGGAGTGCTTCTGAGGACTGGACGGTATGGCAGTATTAATGTGACAGAATGATAGACTTCTTACTAAAACAGAGAGTTGGTAGAGATGAAGAAAACATTCCAAATTTTACATTGTTGGTAATTTTGGAAGTTCTTAACATATGGGCACACACTGTCAACTTTGCAGGTGTCACAGTGAGCACCTGACTTGAAAATTAAATAGTTTCGATTTTTTAAAATGATTAAAGAAAAAAACTTTTTGCAAAAAGTTTGACTTTCTTGATAGCCTGTCCTTGGTAACTGATGTAGCTATTCATTTGGGAGTTGAGCTGGATATATTGGTCTAAGACATCAAGTGGGTCATACAGAAGAAGTAGAAATCATCCATTTGATGGTATCTGACCACTACTGCTTTATATTCAGTCCATATTTCCTGTGCTTGTTCAACTTTGGCTTCTTTCCATGACTGTTGTGTCTATACATAAGAAAACAGATTGTGACTGTGTTTGCATTCACTGGAAGTGGTGGCATTTAGTCACCTCATTGACTGTACATACACTTTGGGGAGCTGTATATCAAGGGGGAAGGATTTTTTTCCTAATGATTTGTAACCAGGGAGCACTGATGTAATTACATACAGATAGATGGTGATGTCCTGTGGTTATGTCGGTACTTTTGGTTTTCCTTTGCTACTTGAGAAAGGGCATGGTGGGATTGCACATGGAGGCTTTGTGGAACTGTGGTTGACTTACCATGTTTGGTGCATGATGAACATACCTTTAAATGGGCTGTTTTTCCTTGTACTTTCTATAAAGCATATTTCACAGCCTTTTCCATTTCTAGAGTCTTAATGGAAGATGAGAGTATTGTGATGATTTTACTTTCAACCCCATAACTCTGGATCAGTATGGAACCAAGACCCTAATGCTGCTCTGAATATTTGGTATGTGGGTGTATGAAGCCTTTGTGAGAGTCCCAGGCCCGTATTTTTGTCTTATGTGAATGTAGGGACTATGAAAAATTTGCTTTTAGGGTGAAAATCAGAGATGGTTCAATGTCCTCATAATCTCATTTAGAGGCCAGATTCACCATTAGTTTGTTAATTGGAACCTTGGAAGCATTGGTCCCACAGCTCATGAAGGTGATGCCTTTTGGCTTTCCAAAACTCACTGTAGCAGAAGTGAACTGGTACAGACAGATCCTCTAGGGAACAAAATAAGTTTCATTTTGCATGCTGGCACCAGTAGGTTGGTTGTAGTTGCCAAGAGCACTATATTGAGAAGGGCTCAATGGCAAACAAAACAATGCAGTGATCCATAATCCATGTCTACCATGAATGCAGGAGGGGAGAGTGCCTGCCAGTGAACCATGTATTTGATGACCCTGCTCTATATAAAAGGTCCTTATGCGAAGAGTGCTTCTTTTCTTCCTGAGGTAAATGCTACACAAGTTGAAAACTCATCATAACTTATTTTCCATTTTACTTTTAAAAATGCCTGCATTTATTTTTTTAAACAGGCTAAAAACCCACACCATGGATAACTTATTGGACTTTGCCTGAAAGGAGTCATTAGTGCCATTGGATATTTGACCGTCTTGGCCACAGGTTTTTTCAGAATGAATGGAAGGTCATGCAGCATGAATCTCCACCGGATATCAGGAACCCCACAGGGGCCTGGGATGGTCAGTGGCCAACACATTCCTCCCATCAGAGCCCACTCAGGGACTCCTGGGCCCTCATCCTGTGGCACCACACCAAGCCCTGGTATTGGAAGCCTTGCTAACAGTCTCCATCTCAAGATACCTTCGGGAGGAGGGATGGTTCCTCAGAGCAACATGGCTGAGAGCCCCATCCATCTGCCCGCCTTGAGTCCCAGGAGACAAGTGCTCACCAATGGGAAGTCACGATTCCAGGTCACTCAGGCCGGAGGCATGTCAGGGCCACACACTTTAAAGCCAAAGCAGCAGGAGTTTGGAAGTCCTTTTCCTCCAAATCCTGGGAAAGGTAGGATTGTGTTTCTGGGATATTTTACAAGTAGAAAGTACTTTTTTTCTCCCTCTAGGCACTTCTCCCAGAAATTCCTATGGAAAAATACACGATTCAATGTCAAGCTCAAAGTTGATGGTCTTATGATACGTAGCTTGCTTGGAAAGAGGGAGGACGTGTACATTTGTGTGAGGACCAGGAGGCTATAGTAGTAAATGTGACATCTCATGAAACAGAAACAGAGTGGAAAGTAAAATAGAAAGATCAGAAATGGGGAGGTAGGGTGGTGGTAGTGATGGAAAGGAAAGAGCAAAGTTTAGCAAGATCCTACCCTCTGGCTACGCAAATTTCTGTCCTGGATCACCAAGGGCTAGATTCTACAGGCCATGGAGTAGAGTCAGGGCCAGCTAGAACAATCATTATGCTAGCTGGGTGCTGAAAGAAAGGTAGTGTTTGGATGGAAAGTGATGAAAAAGGGAGAAATTTTTTTTTAAAATGAGGAATTAATACGTAGAAATGATAAAAAATTATTCAAGAGTAGAACCTTTAATTTTTCTAATATAGCTAGTAACAGGAGAGAAAGCATATAGAAGAGAATAATGAAAAGATGTATTTTTTGTGCTTGTGGAAACTAGAAAGCCTGGTTAATTTGAAATTCAAAGAGAATGTGCTTTTAATTCAGTAGTGTTTGAATTACCATATATTTTATGTATTTAATTTATTTTTTGATTTTTAATTGTTTTTGAATTTTTATAAGAGTTTATTTGAGCCAAAACTGATGACAATTGCTAGGAAACAAGATCTCACATCCTCCCAAATTACCATATATTTTAAATTAAAGAATAATTGTTGGAGACCAGCAAATTAATTGAATGACATACTGTCTGTAGAAACTAATATTGACTTAATGAGATTATATTGCATATGATATGTATGTTTGGGTTAGAAAAAGAAAGAGCATGTATCCCATGTAAAATATAGCTTTGTTATATAAAATAGCACAACTATATATTCCTTAGGTATTTTTAGTGTTTAGTTTTAAATGTTTATATTAAGTGTTATACCACCAAATAAAATTACTAGCTGCCTGTGAATAGCCATTCACTGAGTTAACTCATAATTCACCTGGTTATGGTGAATAATGATTTATATCAGGCAAGTAACCAAAAAGTTGTTTGTTTTAGTGTCTGTGTATATTTCTGTGTATGGAGAAGTTGGTATAAATGGATAGATTTTAGAAAAACTAAGTATATGTGTAGCTTTTTTCTTTTCTCTTTTATCTATTTTGGTCTAGGTTTGGTTGCTTTATTTCTTAGAGCTGCTGATATTAAGTATAAGTATAGGAAAAACTTTCTCTGGCGACTGCATCCAAAATAGCTCTCTCATTGTCATGTTGCTGTGTTCATGGCGAGGCAAGCTACGGTCCTTAATGTCAAGCTCATGTGTTTGGATTTTTAGGGACTGAGGCCCAGTAAAATCTTTCAGCTCATGCTTGACTAGTGAACTGTATATTACTTTTATATGTACTTATGTTTGAAATTCTGACTGGCAATAATAATGATGATAATATTAATAATTTGGCATTTATTAGATCGTAACTCAGCATGTATCAGGCACTGTGTTAAGTGCTTTCCAATACGTAGTCTCAGTTATTCCGCATAACAGCTTTGAGTTTCATGCTACTGCTGATCAACTAATAGGGGAACTAAGGTCTAGAAAGAATAAGTAACTTCAGCATTGCCAGCCAGTAAGAAGTTGGGAATATTACTTGGATGGTGATGAGAGTGATTATAATTATAATAATGGTTTAAAAAATATTTTGGCTTTTTGATTCTCCTCTTTTCAATTTTCTGACTTCTTGTTCAGCTTCCAAGCTTACAATGCTTGTACTGGATCTGTGTGGTTGGGCATGCGTGGGCATGGATAGAGGGTCAGGGACAACAATATTATAATCTTACTAGCCTTGAAGGTTGGAGACCACCAGTGGTCTGGGTGGTGCCAGGAATGGCTGAGTGTCTCTTTCAGATCTTGGCTAACAGTCCCTAAACAAAGCCAGTAACTGGTTGAGAATGGTGATCTGGGATTGTTTGAACTTCTTCCAATCACTTACTTAACAAATAAGTATTGAGCACATGTTATGGGTCCACCACTGTTTGGGGGATATAAAAGCCAATAAAACATAGTCATGGCCTTCAAGGAGTTGAATTCAGACAAATGAATGGATAGTTAAAGTAAAGCACATTTAGAGTCCTGACAGGGATACACTCAGGGTTATATGGCAACATTTGGAGAGGTTCCCAGCTGGTGCTTCTTAAGTGGATCAGGGAGGAGAGTAAGATATCTAGGCAGACACTTGAAGGATGAGGAGCTAGCCTTGCAATGTATATGTCCTATGTCTGTGAGTATGTATATGTGTGTGTGCATGTGAGGGGGCTGTCTAGAACTTATTCTGGGTAGAGAGAAAAGCATACTCAAAACCAGGAGGGGAGAGATCATGGTTCATTTCATGAACTTTCACCTAGTTTCACGTTGGATGGTATAATGACTCTGGTAAGAGATGATGCTGGAGAGTAATAAGCAGAAGCTAGATGTAGGGTCATGAATGATGTATCAAGGAGGTTTAGATATAATTTGAGGACACTGGCAAGCTAGGGAAGGATTTTAGCCTTGGGAGTGATGTGATAAGTTTGAGCTTAACATTTCTCCCTGGCTTTGTTACTGTTTTTTTCATGGATTATTAACAATGCCGTGACCCAGAGGGATGGGTACAAAGAACCTGTGACTCTCTGGGTGTATTAGGTTTCTCTAAAGAAATAGAACCAGTAGGCAATATATCTTTATATCTGCAACTGAATATATGTATTATCTATCTGTCTATCTACCTACCTATCTATCTAAAGAGATGTTTATAAAAAGATATGCTTGCTCATGTGATTATGGAGGTAGACAGGTCCCAAGATCTGCAGGGTAAGTCAGCAAGCTGGAGGCCCAGAAGAGCTGATGGTTTAATTGTAGTCCAACTCTGAAGGCCTGGAACTAGGAGAGATAATGGTGCCATTCCTTCCTGAAGGCCAGCAGACTTGAGACCCAGGAAGGACTTATATTTCAGTTTGAGTCCAAAGGCAGGAAAAAGCCAGTGTCCCAGCTCACAGGTAGTCATTCAGTAAAAAATTTTCTGTTTCTTAGTGTAGGGTCAAACTTTTGTTCTATTCAGTCCAACTGATTGGATGAGGCCCACTTATATTAGGAAGGGCAATCTGCTTAATGTGAAATAGGAGATGAAGGTGGTGAAATTGAATCTGATTTCAAGGCTTGAGAAGTAGTAGGGGGCACAGTTGGAACACACATATGATTAGTATTTGTTGTTAAATAAAATAAAAATATTTCTATTTTTAATTTGTGTATTAGTTTTTCCAAACAGCTAATAAGTTATAAGCACATAAATACTTTTAAGTTGTTGACACCTAACTACTTAATAAATAGAAGTGTCAGGTGTTCCTTTTGGCCTATGGGCACCATGAAAAAAATCACTGAGATAGTAAGAATGCCATGAACTGAGAACATTTGTGGACCTGTGTCACAGAAGTTTATTTTTTTCAAAGAGTAGGCTGGAGTAGTTGATGCTGCTAATGATTAGAAGCTCAGGGATGTCAGGTCCAAGATCATGAGGCTTTTCTTAGTCTTTCCCTCTTAGCTGTGCAATAGCTGCCTCACTTTAGCACTTGCTATGAGGTCTGTATTCTGAGAATGGGAAAGGAGGAAGAAGGACAAAAAGCACAAAAGGTAAAAGCAACAACTATCCCCAGATGGATAGTTGTTTAATTGCCTTTACCAAGAGTCCCATCTAACTACTACCCCTTGATCAGCCAGTCATACCTAACGTATCTTAAATAAAACTCTTTGTTTCTGAATTTATCTTTTTTTAAGAAGTTAGATTTTGTCTTACAGTATTTTGTATTATCTTATATTGTATTTTATTTTTTTGGTATGTGCTACTTTTATATTTCTCTTATCTCAAGCAAGTTGAACTTACTTGTAAATAAGTTGCAGACATTGTGACACTTCACCCCCAAATTCCTAAGCAGGTAACTTTCATGCTATATAACCAAAATACATTAATAATAACCACAGAATTTAACTTTGCTACAATAGTATTATTTATAGTTATATCTTAAAATACAGTACATACTGCAAATCATTTTATATTATTTTATATTTTATTTTTTACTTATCATATTCATATTCATAACATATATCATTATTTTCTTTCCCTATTCATAACCCAAATGTCCTTAGTAGCCACTTTTCTTTTTCTTTTTTTGATCAAGGATCTAATAAACAACATGCATTACATTTGGTAGTCATATCTCTTCAGTCTTCTTTAATCCAGAATGGTCCTCTCTGCTTTTTCTTTTGTGTTTCATGGCAAATAAGTTGATATTTTTAAAGAGTTCAGGTCAGTTGTCTTGTTGCACAGTCTGCTTTGTTTGAATTTATTTAAAGTATATTTTATTGATTATGCTATTACAGTTGTCCCAACTTTTTTTTCTTTTGCCCACCTCTGCCCTGTACCCTGCTTTCCTCCAGCAGTCTCCCCCTTTAGTTCATTTCCATGGGTTATGTGTGTCAGTTCTTTGGCTTCTCCATTTCCTATACTATTTTTAACATCCCCCAGTCTATTTTGTACCTACCAATTATGCTTTTTAATCCCTGCCCCGTTCCCCCATTGTCCCCCTTCCCCCTCCCAGGTGATAATCCTCCAAATGATCTCCTTACATAGGATTCTGTTCCTCGTCTGGGTGTTTGCTTAGGTTTTTTTTTTGTTGTTGTTGTTTTGTTTTGTTTTTAGATTCAGTTGTTGATAGTTGTGAATTTGTTGCTTTTTAATGTTTATAGTTTTGACCTTCTTTTTCTTATATAAGTCCCTTTAACATTTCCTGTAATAATAGCTTGGTGGTGATGAACTCCTTTAGTTTTACCTTGTCTGGGAAGCACTTTATCTGCCCTTCAATTCTAAA